TCCATGCCCTGAGTGGGATTCGAACCCACGATCCCGGTTTCGAAGCGAGCGAAGACAGTACATGCCTTAGACCGCTCGGCTACCGTGACCGGCATAACACACTATACCGAGACCTAATTTATTGTTCATGGACAATAAGAAATTTACTTGTTTCCGTCAGTAGTCTCCTCAGGCTCTGTGGGGCTTCCTTTGAGACTGCGGTTACTAAATTCTCTTTGAAGGATTAAAATAGGACGTCCAGTTTCACGTCTTCATTACTTCTAAGTCCTCGTCAAAGTTCCAAGAACGTAGTATTTCAAACAGGACTTACCACCCCCTTCTTACTACAAAGAACTAAGCAAAATATACCCAGGGAACTTCTAAGATTCAAACTTAAGAACTGGAAGCTCTTGTTTCATTTTAGTTACTTCTCCTTATCTTATAGAGAGAAGTCTGCTGATCCTGTAGCCTTATCAAGGTTCCTTCTTTGTTTCATAAGCAGTTTGTCCCCACACTATTTCAGTCTTATTTCTTTATTTATCAGAAAGCTTGTAGACCGTGTTCTAATTCAGCCTTCTTACACGAACACGCACGCACACACACACTGCTGTGACACAATAAGCGCCCCTTCCTAGATCAGAAAAGGAAAATTTAGTATTTATTTTTAAATTTAGACACAAACTTTGCTGTTTAACTTAAAGAAATAATTTTCTTCTTAATTCTTTGGGGTGATATGATACTGAATTCACTAGATACGTCGACCACTAATTGGCCTACTGCACCAGCCCCGGACCATGGACGAGTATGGAGCATTTGGATGGAATGAGAATTGGTAAGGGAAACCGAAGTACTCCGAGAAAACCTGCCTCAGTGCCACTTTGTCCACATTAAACCTTACATTAAGTAACTTGGTATCGAACCCAGGCCGCGATTCAGATATATTTAAAAAATATTTGAATAGCAGAGACTGACTAATTTGTTTAGAATCTGTTCAAATGCTGTGGGTTCACGAGACAATCTGTTCAGTGACTACAAGAATGGCGAGCTAGACTAATTTGAATATATTAGTCGGTCCAGCAACTCCCGTCAAACAATACCTAACGCAACGTTATATCACCATGGTCGAGTATTCTATAATTAGGAGTGCCATTTCCTTTAATCCCAGAAGCAATATTCGTATTACTACAACTAGTTCTTCTGGAATTAGGTCCAGATATTCGGTCCAAATAAGAGAAGAAATGGCTACACCGATCATGACTCAGTCTTCTGGAATTTGGTATTGACGTTTATTGCACAGTAGATGTATTTTTTATAGCTTTCCTAAAGTTTTATAATGTCGTGTCCTGTATTATAATTTTTAATGTTCATAAGTCCATGACTGTGGCTTCTGTTTTCTGGAGTCACAGATGGGACAGCAATGTAGGATTCTTAATTTTCTGAATGAACCCAGACCGGGATGTTCTTCATTGCGCAAATTGTCTTCTTTCTTTTTTTCTTTCTTTCCTCCAGCCCAGCTGTACTCTCAGATTAGAAGCCTTCCCAATTTCTCCCCCCCCCCTCCCACGTCTACACTGCCACAGCAACCGAGTTATAATGTACGAAAGAAAGAAGGCATAAGGACGACGATGAAAGTAGCTTACACCTCTCACTTCCCTCCCTCTGGTGGTTCAGAAAATAAAATATCTCAGAAGGCAGGAGTGGCGGAATAAAGGAAATCAGAAAAAGAAGTTTTCTTGTTTAGTTTGAGCAGATTTTAATTAGCTGGATAAAGAATGCTCTGAACAATTGCGTCTTTCTCTTCTCCCACAATTTGGGCACGTCCCACACTCTTTACAAGGAAGCGACGTACTTTTTATCTTAACTCTCTTGAGCTTCTTGCTATAAAGTTTTCTTCCTTAAAGTACAAAATCTATTTCGGAATGTCGCAAAAAAAAAGAGGCGCAAGGAAGAGACACGAATGAGAAGAGACGATGAACATTTTAATGCTAAATAATATTAAAAAGTGGGGGGAGAAACATCTCTGTCTCTATTCCTCATGATATTAAGCGTCAATTATTCTCCAGTTCTGTCTCTCTTACTCAGTCGCTGTGCCGGGCTTGGAGTTACTGCTAATTTAGTTGTCTCTAAAGTACATCCAACGTGTAATTGAGATTTTATAGGCGAACATGCTAATGACTGCTACGAAATTTGCTGCAAGAACAGATGAAGCCAATACTTAAGCCTCGGTTGACGCTTTTTGTCATGTGGCTTCAATACACGCCGTAGTATGGACCTAATTAAGTGGATGACACTCTCAAATGTTAAAAAAAAAAGAACGGATGGTCCAGGCCGGTTTAGGGGTGTGGGATGTACTTTCATCGCAGTGGGGAGGTGTTCGAATGAACGTTGAAGGGAGGGTAAAGAGAAAATTCCTAATTGAAATTTGCATGGATATTGTATCGTGTATATTGGTGGGGAGAGACCAAGGTTGCGAATTATTGGTTTGTGAGGTTATGCGTGCGTGCGTCTGTTGCGTGAATGAGAGGGAGTTGTGTTGGATTGTTTCTATGATAAGCGGGTGAGAGGATGTTGTAGTGGGGGTATACATGATGGGATTCCTTTGTATAATGCAAATGACGGGGCTTCACCTATTGTATTAGGTCAAGGACATTATCACATTTGTGGTTGTAATGCAACGGCATTAGGTAGCGTTCTTCTATCAGATACAAGACATAATTTAACCGTGGTTCAGACTGTGTGCAAGTGATATATATGTATACATATGATGGACTTACATTTGTAATGCAAACCAAACTATGTGGTTGAGTGATTATTGCTTCGTATTTGGAAGTTTGTGGATTAAATTCACGACGCAGAACTCCAATACTGTGACTGGGACTTTTCCTCACAGTTCTCAAGAAGTAAAATGGTTCTGTAGCGTGTAGACCCGTTACTTGGTCTAAACAACATCCGCTGCTAGACAACAGATTCACAATAAGCAAGTATACGCAGCCGTTACTGACTAACGTCTTCGCAAACAAACATGTTCCCACGGAAACGATTGACGTAAAAAAATTAACGATGTTTTCTATGCGTTCCGTGCCGAGATGTTATAAGAAGGACAGTTGGAGGAAGAGGACAGAGAGAAAGAGAGTTGTGAGGGAGTCTGTGAAGAGAATACTTAGTCGGTGCAGTTGAATATCCACTACTGTTAGAAACCGTTACCAGGGAACGACTGCTGAAGACAGCAGCAAATTGAAAAGACTTATCGTGTGCTGTAGTGATTGTGGAGATCAGCGATGAAGCTCTAATTAAGGACCACACTCATGAAGGATCGACTGTCGAGGAAAAACGACGAAAGAGCCCAGAACGCAACAACGGCATAAAGAAAAGAGACCTAAACAAGCAGCTAGGCCTAGGGAAAAAGAAGGGATTCAAGAGGATCATTAGGCAGACTCACGAACTGGAGGTCGCGAAGCGAGCAGTCGAATTTTCCATCGGGACGCTAAAAATGACAATGCGGAGGAGCCAGCCACCGCCCAAGCGAAATAAAAGTATACCAGCAGCCTAGGAGCCAGAGATGTAGGAGCACCGACCACTCTCAGAATTCTTGCTCTCACCGACAGCAAAATAAAAAGTCGTGGTACGCCTGCAAGCTACTCGGGACGAATAGCCTTAATGAGGGAGCAATGTGGCATGTCTGTCGAAAGCCAGAATTATAAAGTCAGCAGAGACAGTCGTTGCTAGGGAAAGTCTCTGTAAATATACCTGATGCTAGGCAATTGTCCTGAGACGTCAGAAGTGTAGGAGGTATATGTGAAATGGCCGCCAGCCTGCTAGGACGTNTGACGGGGCTTCACCTATTGTATTAGGTCAAGGACATTATCACATTTGTGGTTGTACTGCAATGGCATTAGGTAGCGTTCTTCTATCAGATACAAGACATAATTTAACCGTGGTTCAGACTGTGTGCAAGTGATATATATGTATATATATGATGGACTTACATTTGTAATGCAAACCAAACTATGTGGTTGAGTGATTATTGCTTCGTATTTGGAAGTTTGTGGATTAAATTCACGACGCAGAACTCCAATACTGTGACTGGGACTTTTCCTCACAGTTCTCAAGAAGTAAAATGGTTCTGTAGCGTGTAGACCCGTTACTTGGTCTAAACAACATCCGCTGCTAGACAACAGATTCACAATAAGCAAGTATACGCAGCCGTTACTGACTAACGCCTTCGCAAACAAACATGTTCCCACGGAAACGATTGACGTAAAAAAATTAACGATGTTTTCTATGCGTTCCGTGCCGAGATGTTATAAGAAGGACAGTTGGAGGAAGAGGACAGAGAGAAAGAGAGTTGTGAGGGAGTCTGTGAAGAGAATACTTAGTCGGTGCAGTTGAATATCCACTACTGTTAGAAACCGTTACCAGGGAACGCCTGCTGAAGACAGCAGCAGATTGAAAAGACTTGTCGTGTGCTCTAGTGATTGTGGAGATCAGCGATGAAGCTCTAATTAAGGGCCACACTCATGAAGGATCGACTGTCGAGAAAAAACGACGAAAGAGCCCAGAACGCAACAACGGCATAAAGAAAAGAGACCTAAACAAGCAGCTAGGCCTAGGGAAAAAGAAGGGATTCAAGAGGATCATTAGGCAGACTCTCGAACTGGAGGTCGCGAAGCGAGCAGTCGAATTTTCCGTCGGGACGCTAAAAATGACAATGCGGAGGAGCCAGCCACTGCCCAAGCGAAATAAAAGTATAGCAGCAGCCTAAGAGCCAGAGATGTAGGAGCACTGACCACTCTCAGAATTCTTGCTCTCACCGACAGCAAAAGAAAAAGTCGTGATACGCCTGCAAGCTACTCGGGACGAATAGCCTTAATGAGGGAGCAATGTGGCATGTCTGTTGAAAGCCAGAATTGTGAAGTCAGCAGAGACAGTCGTTGCTAGGGAAAGTCTCTGTAAACATACCTGATGCTAGGCAATTGTCCTGAGACGTCAGAAGTGTAGGAGGTAGATGTGAAATGACCGCCAGCCTGCTAGGACGTAAGCCCGGGATCAGAGGAATGCCCACTGTTGGAAGATGTTACCAAGCAGCGAAATGAAGACTGTGACTGGGAACACTGCTCTGTGTGTGAGACAGTGATCTGCAAAGAGAAGTCAGGAGTTTGTGTTAAAGTGTCCAATAAATCCAGTTATCAATCCAAAACCCACCTACAATTATTCTATCAAGTGACAATATATATATATATATACATGAACATTTGTTTTGTATAAATGAAGGGGCATTTCTTATCCAGCTGAGTGAATATAAATAGTTAGTTAGTTAGTTGGTTGGTTGGTTAGTTAGTTAGGTAAAAAAGGTGAACACTTATTTCTCGGAGGATTATTAGCAGTAATGGCAGTATTCTAAAGAACCGCGTTTAGTGACAAATAAAAGTTGATGTTAAGAATATCAGACAGGAAGCATTTAGAAATGACGAATTAACACAGACCGATGGGACGGAAAAATATTCTGAAAAATGTCATTACTTTTACCGCGTTTTGTGAAACATATTGAAACATATTTAAATCCTTAATATTGCAGCACACCGGATGAGATATACTGCAATAGAAACCTTCTTGCGAATAAATTCTTCTTTCATCTTTAAAACGAACGTCATCTCCGTCCCATGGCTCAGTCGTGCATCAGAAACGAATACTTACATTTTGTTGGGGTAAATGGAGACGTACGGGATCTCAGATCTTTCAGTGCCAATTTTCATACGTAGCTGACACGGTGTGGCGGCAGATGATTAATAAAGCACAGTTAATTCTCTGAACATTTGAATGAGTCTTGGGAAGACCAAGACGTATACAGCAAGATCAGTTTTAGTTCAACTCAGCAATGGAAGAGGATCGTAGCGCTTATCCTTGGTTTGGAAGGAGAAAAATAACCGGTAGAAGAAGGGAAATAATAAGAATGTAAAGCTTTGATAGTGCTGAGGTGTAAAATATTGTTCAAAACAAAGCATTAATAGAATTGTCCATTTTTATTTTAATAAACAAGGCAGTGAAAAGTTCCTAGGCGAAAGCACTGCGCCACAAAATCGTGTAGGGATCGTGGATGTAGCCCTAATGTTTCACGCATTCTAGATAAGGGCACAGGATGAAGGTTAATGGTTAGTTTCATGAGCCCCCCCCCCATCTCCCGGGAGGAAGGGCCCCTAATTCTAGTTGTTTAGGAAACTGTGTCAGAGAAGAAGAAGAAAAAAAATCCCAACCCCTACCAGAAATTGAACCTCTATCGTCAAGCTTCCAGACAGTCACTGACTGAAATCTTCCGACTACATATGAAGGAATGAAAAAGTTTGAAATGAGAGTATTTAATTTTTACAAACTAAATGAAAAGTTACAAGTATCATGTTTTTTGGACATTATTCATCATCTTGTCTGCATTTAAAACCCGTCAATCGAGATGTTTCTCTGGTGCAAAGCCCCATACGTGTGGAGTTTCAATAATTTAACGTTTTCTTAACTCTTGCAGATGGTTTGTGTTGTGTTTGATTTATGTACCCCTTTTTGAAACTGGCACAGGTGTCCAGAGATAGGGACTAGCTCTGTCTATTGGGCCCAAATGAGTAGGTTTTACCTGGGGACGGGGACAGAATCCAGTCTCCGAAACGCTGAGTTTTGAAAAATAAAGAGGACGGTTTTTAAATATAGACAA